TTTTCCGCGGGCCACTTCGGAGTTACGGCTTCCCTTGGAGGGCCGATGTAAAATATCAACGTTCTTTATTACCCATCACAATTTGACATGGGTGACAGGATCATGATAGTTGATGGACATGATTTGCTCCCGTGGGCCACATAAAATGATGTGGCGGGCCAGATCTGGCCCCCGGGCCTTGACTTTGACACCTGTGCGTTAGATAATCAATTTGGACTGTCGGAATAAAATATGCCCAAACGCATCCTGTCTCCGTGGTGCCTAACATCTACAGCAACCTTGCATTGTTTTAATTCTTTCCTCTCGATCTGATGAATAAAATCTTTACAAATATGTGAAGCTTTGGAGCGCTCATAATAACCATCCTCTGTACCCACAGCCAGATACATTCATAGTGGGAACGGAACAAGGGGCTGTTGTGTACTGTAACAGAGCAGCTGAGACTCCGGCTGAGAAGATTGTTTGTACATACGATGGCCACCATGGACCTGTCTATGCCATCCAGAAGAACCCTTTCTTTTCGCAAAATTTCCTCACCGTGGGAGACTGGGGCGCCCGTATTTGGTCAGAGGACATCAAGGAGTCATCGATCATGTGGACGAAGTACAATTTTATTTTGTTCTCATCTGTTTTCATCTTGCTTTACGGTCTGTCATTGTCGTTACTTTTCACACCCTTTTGGTTGCTTCAATCTCGGATGTATTTGGGGAGCGGTCAATGACCAGGCTTTGTTGTGAGCAGGCACCAGACGGCATACTTAACAGATGCTTGCTGGAGTCCTGTCAGACCCTCGCTCTTCTTCACCGTGAAGATGGATGGTGTGCTGGACATCTGGGACATCTTGTTTAAGCAGAATGACCCCACTCTAAGTGTCAAGGTGTCAAGGAATTCTCTCATGCTTCCGTGAAAGCATTTTGCTCTTGTTTAATCAACAAGATGGGTTTTTTTTTGTTTTTTTCAGGTGCGTGATGAACCTCTATGTTGCGTCCAGGTGCATGAGGCTGGGTCCAAGGTAGTTAGCGGTTCTCAGTTGGGTGTTATCTCTCTAATGGAAATCTCAAAAGGACTGTGCACCCAACAGAATAATGAGCAGGCCCTCCTGGGAGAGGTGAGGTATACCAAATGTTGAATAATTACTTATTAATAATGACTAAGTTAACATCAGAATACGTTTTACATCACGTTGCTGAACCCGTTGTGTCCGTCTTGCTGCTGTAAGATGTTGGAACGTGAGACGAAGCGCGAAAAGATCCTCAGGGCTCAGAAAGTGAGGGACGAGGCCGGCAACATGGAGGAAAGTCCAAAGGAGCTGATCCTCAGACCCGAATATGATTTCTACAATCTGTTGGAGTCAGAGCAGAGGAGGAAGCAATGGGAGACGAGACAGCGGGTAAAGCCACGCTGAATTTTGTTTTTTTTGTCGAAATATGTGGGAGCGCAGACGGATGCTATATATTCAGGACCATAATACTGATTAATACATTTTAGTCACATCGTATCCTCGCAGAGCTCTTCTACTATGCATACATGCCATTTGGTGGCTGAACCGCACCAAAGCAAGCTGATTGTATATTGATCCAGCAAGAATAGCATAAAACCAGCATATGTTATGACCACCTATGCTGGTCGATGGTGGGTGTTTTCAAATATCGGAGATTCAACTACACGATGGATCCTCCTCTTAAGAACCACAGGATAGATTTTACCAGGGAAGCTGAGGATTGTGTTCCCCTTTTATTGGCATAGATCTTACAGTTTCGCTCTTGGAAATGTGGTCCACCTGGTCTATTAGTCCAGAGGCATGGTCTCCTATGTCCACATTTAGTTTGAGAGGTGGGTCAAACAACAGAGCCCCTTGAACATCCAGAGCTGTTGGGAACTCTTGGCTGACCTAATTTATCCCGAGCGCCCTGTCCCCGAGGACCTTTTTCAATCACCTCGGCTTTCCTTGAGCTCAACGATTGAGTTTTCGCCTCAGCAACCATTCAAGTTGCATTCTGCTTGGCCTGCCAAAAAAGTCTGATAGAACTTCTTTTTGATGGCGTCCCTCACTTCAGGACTCATTTTGTGGAATTATTAACTTATGGGTTTCACACAATAAAACAATCAAATTTTGTCTTTTTTTTAATGACTTGTTTGTCATCTTAGCTTCTTCTTCTTTCTTTACAGAATTACCCATAGAGCCGAGAAGCAGACCGCAGATGCCAGCAGTAGTCCAAGAACAACTAGCGTAACTTCAACATGGTGCTCGGCAAGATGGTCATGATTCTCAAATCCACCAATAGTTATTTTGGAAGAGCAACATTTGGCTTCAACCAGCTTGTGGCTGCAGATTGTCATGGTAACAAAAGTCAAACGTCAAAAGTTATCTTCCAAATTATTTTCTATGCTAAAGCGAGAAATATAGATTTCGAATCACTGTGTGTCTGACTAAAATTGTAACGGTATCGGCAAGATCAAATGGCAACTCACTATTACTTCTTTGCTGTACGCAACATTAATTGGTAAACCGTTCTGGAATTCCTGCACTTTGTCACAGCAGACCGAATGAAACTGAAGTTGGTTTCAGCATCTGCGGTCAAAGGCCTAATCGGTCCATCTTCCTTTCAACCAGTAAATAATTCTTATGTAATACTCCAAATACTTTTTGAGGGCATTTTGAGGAGTGTGTAGGTGAGAAGTAGAGTGCAAGACTGAAACATTAACTAAGAGTGTCACAGAGGAACTGTTGTTGATGTGTTGTAGCTTGGATGAGCAAGCAGAGGAGACGCCCACATAGAAAAGTAGGAAAACACGAGGGAAGGGGAAAACCTAACCACTGCTCTAACCCTGACAGTCAAAATGTCAGCAGGAAGGAAGAGCTCAAGGTTGTCTGCAAAGTTATTACACAAAGTACGATCTGTGTTTGGACTCAATTGTGTGTCCTCGCTTCTAGTTTTGGTGGGGACACACCAGCTCTGACTAAGACTTGTAGTTTCTGCCAATATTGTTATATTTTTCCCCCAAACTGTACAATATATTTATATATTTTTTTTACTCAATTAGGCCATAACAGTTGTTATGTTGCAATGTGAATGCACAAAGAACAAAGGACAGTCAACCTTGCATAAAATTGCAATTAAAAACATTTTCTGCCCAGGATCGTTGGCCAATGACGTTTCTCGAGCGTTGAAATAGTTCATGTCAACACTGCATTTTCATTTATACAATATAAACATCCCATTCAACAGGTAGTTTGGGATAAGTGGAAGTACACAGTCACGTGGAGTTTTCAAGGCTCAAATGTGGTAATATTTACTTGGGTTGCAGAAAACAATGCAGTGTTATTTCTGGAACGGGAGGTCAGAACATTCGGTGTTGATCCCAAATCAGTGCTATGATTGCTATTTTAATCTATTTATAAACTTTGTTGCAACTATTTCTGACCTGTATTGTTTGTTATGACTAATTGCTACGTATATTATGGTCCCTGTCAACAGGACCATCTTCAACATGCGCAGCAAGTTGCATCTGCCGTTTATGAAAACATGTTTATTCTTTAACCTTTTAAAACTCCGGCCTACTCCTCCATCTGACTTTTCGCTCAGCAGATTAAAAAAAATCCATCTGTCATTTTTGAATGTGTCGAGGTGTAGCACAGGGCCTGAATTCCCTGAATCCTGGGCTGAAATGCGGTTTCAACCCAGTTTTAGTACGAAGCAGACTTGGTCAGCCTGCCTGTCACAGAGGTATGAGGCAAGGCTAAAACAGATGAGGAAAAGTAGTTAGTGAGCACATGACAGGCAAAGAAGTTTTATGGCACAAATGGAGCCGCAACATGAAGAAGGGCGGGGGAGGGGGGGGGTGTTGTCAGGGTGACGCTGAGGGGGGAACGGTTACGAGAGCAACGAAGCTTAAAATGACAAACTATCAACTGCAATTTCTAAATGCTGGGAGCTGCTTTGACTGACTAAAAGAACTAAACAGGACTATATTACCGGCAAACATGAGCTTTTTCAGCAGAGCTCCATCTGCTGGATGTGGTTGGTCACTGCATTATTTGCCCCTGATGCAAGCAGACTGCAACAGCAAAACGTAAAATAAAATACATTTATTCTTCCTTGCCAAAATTCATTTAATTTCAATATCCCCATCTAGTCCAGGTTATTTTGAAAAACGGACTACAAACTCCACTCATCATTCATCATCCAATCGTGAACCTAGAAGGGAACAATGCAAACCACTCCGCACCTAAAAGACCAAAGGAAGCCTGACTAAAAAGTGTAGCCTTTTTTATGTTTTGCAAGCATATAATACACTCTCGTCTCTTCTTTTACATCGACACTATTTGACTTGAATAAACAGCGGCTCCCATTTACAGAGCAAAAGATGAGAAGTCGACTCGACAGTCTACCGCTCTGCTTTGCTCTCCCCTATTCAATGAGCAGGGGAAAAAAACTCGAGCTGACAGATTGCCACAATGACTTCCTTCATCTCAGGTAGTGACAGATAATAAAAAAGCTTTCTGTTGCTACCTTTTGCGATAGCATCCCTTTTGTAATGGATTTCTGCTGGCAAATATAGCCCTATTGCGCAATCACCCTGAAAGAGTTGTCGTCACGCCGAGCTGATGCTTTTTTTTTTTTTTTTTTAATAGCGACACATGAGCAACTTGCAATCACATCATAAAATGAGATGTTTTCAAAAGACGGTCATTTGGTTCTGTGCGAAACACTTTGTTTACCGAAGAGCCAATCTGAGGTGGAATATCAAATTCTTGAAAGATAGGTACAGTTTCCTTTTCTCTCTTGTGTTGTGTTGTGTTAGTGTGTATCGTCGTTTTATACTGTCCCTTCAGGGACGAGCTATCGGCTAAAATGCTAATGTAGCGTCAAATAGATCATCATGGGGGAAAAAAAAACAAAACTTTAGCCTGTTACAGAGGGGCCTTTTCTTTGCACATCTAAGCTCAGGTTAACATCAGGAACCAATTACTTGCAAGCATTCACCTCAGAAAGCATCTGAAGGAAGAACCACCCCCCCTCACCTCCTCTATTCCAGACTATCATGCCAAATTCAAGCTTTGTACTTTGCCTGAGTCGCTGATGGTGTCGTTGTACACTCGCCTGGCTTGAGACCAGGCAGCGTGTTATCGGTTCCCACTCAGTGGCAGTGCGGATGTGGATGTGAATAGTTTTTCGTCTTTTGTCTGCCAAAAATCATCCCGCTTTTATGACTGCTACTTGTAGCCATTAATCCAGACGTCATCTTTGATTAAAAAAAAATCAGCACAAATTATTTGATACATTTTTGTTTTGCAGGGGAAAGTTTTTTTTTTGTTTTTTGTTGTTTTTTTTTTTTTAATATTGTGCTCCTGAGTTAATTTTGGTGATCAGATGGAATGCATTATTATTTATTGATTTTATGCAATTTTATTTTTCAGTATCGTGTGGTTTGACATGGTCAGTCAAAAAATGTTTAATTAAGGATTTAATTGTATTTTTGAATTTCAGTTGAACTTTAAATCTTTTCTGTGACAGTTAATAAAGCTTTTCTTTGTTGTAAGTTGGTCCATCTTTCTTTCTTTTTTTATTCTCTTAAAGGTTAATACGAATACAGTGTTATGCAAAGGTGTGCTTATCACAATTTTATAGACAAATGATACTATTGATAGTCGTGCGGGAGTTGTGGGGGTGCGAGATGCTTTCTTCTTCCTCGGCGGGGCATGACAGAAAATAATTGAGAAGCACTACACTAGTACAATGTATCCTTTCCCAACAGTACCACAACAACCAGCGGATGAGGTAGAGGTCCGTCTGGTGGATGGTGGAAACACCGCCTGCTTCGGCACAGTGGAAGTCTTCCTACGCGGACAGTGGGGAACGATGTGCGACCACTTCTGGGACCTGAAGCGTGCACAAGTGGTGTGCAGACAGTTGGGCTGCGGCAGGGCCCTGGCGACTACGTGGTATGCTCGCTTTGGAAAGGGCCCAGCGACCATGAGGCTGGATGAATTCCAATGCACCGGAAGTGAAGCAAAGCTGGGAGAGTGCAATCACAAAGAGATTGGGGATTTCAACTGTGTTCACGATGAGTCTGTCGGTGTTGTTTGTGAAGGTAACTTTGGATTGAGTTTTGGCATAATTACACAGAAACCATGAAAATAATGAACTCATGCATTTTTTTTTGTTTTGTTTAGATGACCGAGCTTCACTCGGACCCTCGCACCTTATTTGTGGTTTTGACAAAATCAAAGCGGGCCTGAATTCGCTTCGGGTAGAAAAGGCTGGTTACAACCCACGTTCTGGCAACCTGGCAGATCGCAGCTGTTCCCGGGTCAGGGAGCAGAGTGGCATTGTGTGGTACGAGGCCGACACTCGGGCAGGTGCCTGTGGAAACATGCTGACGGTAAAAACAAATCAAAACAACAAACAAGACACTTTAACACATCTATCTGGTGGGTCTCTTGTTGTGCTGTCTAAAATATTTCTTTTTTTAGAGGGTAGTAATCCTTGTTTTTGGGGAGAGTGTGGGGGTGGGGGGGTGTTTTTCTTGATCGCTATCACCAATATCAAAGCTGTGATTGAATGAAATGTTAATTACCGGCAAACATGAGCTTTTTCAGCAGAGCTCCATCTGCTGGATGTGGTTGGTCACTGCATTATTTGCCCCTGATGCAAGCAGACTGCAACAGCAAAACGTAAAATAAAATACATTTATTCTTCCTTGCCAAAATTCATTTAATTTCAATATCCCCATCTAGTCCAGGTTATTTTGAAAAACGGACTACAAACTCCACTCATCATTCATCATCCAATCGTGAACCTAGAAGGGAACAATGCAAACCACTCCGCACCTAAAAGACCAAAGGAAGCCTGACTAAAAAGTGTAGCCTTTTTTATGTTTTGCAAGCATATAATACACTCTCGTCTCTTCTTTTACATCGACACTATTTGACTTGAATAAACAGCGGCTCCCATTTACAGAGCAAAAGATGAGAAGTCGACTCGACAGTCTACCGCTCTGCTTTGCTCTCCCCTATTCAATGAGCAGGGGAAAAAAACTCGAGCTGACAGATTGCCACAATGACTTCCTTCATCTCAGGTAGTGACAGATAATAAAAAAGCTTTCTGTTGCTACCTTTTGCGATAGCATCCCTTTTGTAATGGATTTCTGCTGGCAAATATAGCCCTATTGCGCAATCACCCTGAAAGAGTTGTCGTCACGCCGAGCTGATGCTTTTTTTTTTTTTTTTTAATAGCGACACATGAGCAACTTGCAATCACATCATAAAATGAGATGTTTTCAAAAGACGGTCATTTGGTTCTGTGCGAAACACTTTGTTTACCGAAGAGCCAATCTGAGGTGGAATATCAAATTCTTGAAAGATAGGTACAGTTTCCTTTTCTCTCTTGTGTTGTGTTGTGTTAGTGTGTATCGTCGTTTTATACTGTCCCTTCAGGGACGAGCTATCGGCTAAAATGCTAATGTAGCGTCAAATAGATCATCATGGGGGAAAAAAAAACAAAACTTTAGCCTGTTACAGAGGGGCCTTTTCTTTGCACATCTAAGCTCAGGTTAACATCAGGAACCAATTACTTGCAAGCATTCACCTCAGAAAGCATCTGAAGGAAGAACCACCCCCCCTCACCTCCTCTCTGTTCCTCCCTCACATGTCTTCTTCTCTCCCTCCTGGGCCAGTAGCTTCAATCCACGTCTTTCCCCTTTTTAATTCCTCCGTCTTTCTCCTCTTGTCAGCTCTTTTGCCCACCCTCCTCTTCCTTCCTGTCTCTATATCCTCTCAGTTTTTTCTCCCCCACCCTTTCCTGACAAACTTACCTTACTTTTTAAAAAGTCGTTGACTCACTCCTCTTTAGTCATGTACCCCGCCCCCAACCCCTCCAATGATCTTTCTGCACCCAGTCTTTCCACTCCTTTTTTGGGACAATTTATTCCCTCCGATACGGCCGCCATAGCTTTCATGAAGTTCCCACAACTCCTTTGACCTCATCTTCTTGCTTAGTGTGCATAATGTTAAAAAAAAAAAAAAAACACAAAAAAGAAAACCCACTGTGATAATGTTGTACTGTGAAGAAAAAACACACCTTGACCTGTCACTGGAGGCTGACATTCAGCAGATTCGTTGTTGGAGAAATGGAAGACATGAAAATGCTTTAATTCTCATGTTGGTACCATACATATTCATTTTCTGCAGTAATTTTAAAAAAATGCTGAAATAATTTTACATTCTGTCTGTCAAGGACACACATCAGCTTCTCAGAAGGCACGCACACGAGTGCTGTGGTGTGGTTTCAGGCTTTGGGATGCAGTAGAGCGTAAACACAGCACTCAGTGACATGTTTGTGGTAACCCACACACTCTTTCTACTTTCTTCTCTCCTCTTTATCCTATGAGTGCCTGTTATCGTTTGTCATCATCTCCTGCTTCCTGGATCTGTCTTCCTCTCCAAGTTTTTTTTTCCCCCAGCAGCCAAATTTGATCCGTTTAGTTTAATCAAATTTTGCAAATGTCAATCAACGTTGTTTCCATGGCAACGCTCGACATCTTTTCTTCATCCGCTACAGTTTATAAAACGTTCGCATGCTTACAAAGTCCAAATAAAAAGTGATGTCAATGACTGTGAGTGCGCTTTCCCAAACCTAACAGACTAAATGTGCTGTCACTGAGACACAACCTTAGAAAAACATCGAACACAAACTTCCATCCATCCATCATCCATCCATCTTCTGTAGGCCGTGTCCTCACGAGGCTCTCGGTTAACAAGTAAACGTACACCAGACAATTGCAAGGCACATATCGCTGGTGTCGGACGGAATCCTCGTACCTCCAAACTCATCGCTTTTCAGGTGACCCCAAAAGCGTTTGTGCAATCATTAACATTGCATCATCGAAGAGAGCAAGCCGTTTAGATTGATCGATAATTTGGAAAAGTAACACCCCCTTGTGTGGACTGACTAATAGCAGTAGTATAGATTTGTGAAAATTGTGGGGAATATAACAAATTGTGATGAAGATGTTTTGGACGTTAATGTTACAAACAAACAACTACTCAGAATTTCATTCCCACCTATTCAGAGCAATTCAGTTTGAAACCAAGGATTATTAACCGTGGCAGTGCAGACTGTGTTTGCTGTCATGTTATTTTGCGGATCTGATCAATGATATCATTGATTGGTCAAATGACAATAAAATACGAAATATCTGCCAGTCAGATCCAGCGGATCAGATCTGTGTATAGTGTACCTGACATGCAACAAGCGTTCGGATAGTAAGAAAGTGACTTACATTATGAGTACAGAATCCCTTGTCTATGCGGCATGTAATCTTTGTGACCACGTGCACTTCATGCATTGACTTCACTATGAATGCATGTTAATCAGCAACTCACTCACTTTGAACTTCACCCATTGGCCCTAAAAACAGGAAATGACAAGAAGCCGAAAGGTGAGAGAAGGAACATTGCATGGAGGTTATCTTTGTTTTTTGCTGTGTTATTGCCATCTGATTTGACCAGAAAACAAGTCGCTGTGTAACTAATTGTGATGATTTAGGTCCTCCGCACAAGCACAGAAGCACGAAGGCAAGGCTCCAGGCTTGCATATGGATAAATGTTGAATGTCGTCAAAGAAAAGATACATTCCTCTGTGTTAGAGTCTGCTTGCATTGGGGCCAAATGTGACAATGATCAAACTCAATCAGCAGATGGACCAGCAGCTGTTGTGATATTCAAGACAGAAAAGTCCGTTAAACGGTGATAAATTGTCTGGCCTTCATGAAAATCTGCCCTAGTTTTTCAAATGTTTCAACTATAATTTGAAAAGTCATCAGTGGGCAGCAACCCCCTCCCCAACTCCCCTCCCTCAAATTAAATAAAATAAAACATGACTATCTGTTTTTGTACGCCTCTCTTTGGCTCTTGTTGGCTGCCCACGTCTACTCAAATTGTTTCAAGATTATGCAACTATGTCAGCACAACACATTTGCCCTTTCACACGTATTACAAATTCATGCAAAATGTTGCCATCTGAAAAGATTTTCTTTGATTTCAACTAGACATGAAACTGTGTAAAAAGTACAATGTTCTCTGCCAATGTTATTTTCTAGATCAGTAAAAAATATATCTACAATATGTTAAATATGTCACAGTTGAAGGTGCCCAATACTATAAATTCAGCTGTTTCTTCTTTCTTAAGCTAATGTCGGTAATTTGATCAGACACATAATGTTTCTCTGTTATTTCTGAATGTGCCCACTCACCCGATTATGTGAGAAGAGATAAAGACATTTATGTCTGCCCTTACAGGCGCACACAGACTCTTCCCGATGGCACCAAAACATCGAGACATTCTTGGATCAAAAGCTTATTTGTTTTAAGAGCTGAGGGGAGGATGTGGATCGACCACCCGTCGTGATGCCGTGCTGACTGCTGTGGTTTTCAAGCACAGAAAATCCTCATTAGACACCCTTCTCCAAACGGTTTCGGCTGCAAGCACACAGTGACTTGTCTTTGAAACTTTGCAATTATAATCATTGAAGTAGGATAACAAACATGTGAAGAAACTAACTGTTGGCAGTGATGCTGGCTTGATAAGCTTCAATGTTCGGTCCGATCCAAACAACAAAAAGGGAATTCTAATAGCTACTTGCCACTGCTCCTACACACACACAGACACACACATACACAAACACACACATGCACACATGTAAATGTGTTCTTCGCCATCTACAATCTGAAACCAACTGAGCCCAAGTGCAGAAACAAACAGAACAAAAGCAATCTCAGAGCAAACTGGAAGTAAGGACCCAATTAAAACCAAACCATGACCCCCATAAAAAAAAAAGAAAATGGGTGCTCGTTCGGAATGGGCAAAAGGAGAGATGGAATCCTTTGAATGCAGTTTTATTAAAAGGGACAAAAAGACGTCTGCACCGAAGCACGTTCGAGAACACAACACCTTCTTCCGGCTACTAAAACACTTCCTGTTTCCTTCAGCCAATCAGACGCTCTCAACATAAACATGTTTAAGAAATTATTAAAGAGAATATAATTTAGGTAACTTTAACATCAAAGACAATACTGTAATGTTCAAACATAAAATGATAATAATGAACAATTTAACAAAAGCTTACACTTGTATATAGGATATAACAGTCGTGGACATGCAACCAGCAAACGCTTCAATCTTTCTTAATCATTGTAGATGGTCACGAGGCTGGCCTCGAGTGGGAGATCGCGTGCTAGCTGGGCACATTCGCCATCGGCAAAGTTCACCTCTCAACAGTTTGTGCAAACCTTCCGTGCGTCCAGGGAGTCATTCTGCTACATCTGCGATCGTCACGATAACCCCGCACCACCCTCCGACATGGTTGCTGCTAGAGTCTGACCCAACACATAATTGGGGGCCGCTTTGGTCCCAATTTGAAGCACCCGAGCTAGAGCAAGAGAAAATAAAGAACTGGAGCTAATCTGGGCACTGGGCCGGAACTAGCACAAGCGAGGTGGAAAAGGGCCACTACAGAACACAACTGGAATCTCACCAACCATTGAACGAAGCACAACCCAATGAAAAA